TAAAGAGCCAGGCTAATTAATGCTTACAGCTTTGCAAAAGCAAAAGGTTTGCTTCATTCCTCCTGTTTTATTCCATGTGGCCGGAAGGCCCTCTATCCACACCTCATAGGCAGGGCTGACAAAGGGTTACCTCAAGACCCTAATGTCTTGCCTGCCTGCCTGCCTCCCAGATTGAACACAGACAAACTGCATGTAGGAGGCAGGCAAGGGTCTTCTAGAAGCCCAGGCTGTTTGTTATTCAATTTGATGACTCATTTGTCTCCAAGCAGTAGTTATCCAGTCAGGCAGCTGGGCTTAACACAGGGCCAGCCAGACTCAGTTTTATTCATCGACTGCAGCACTCACTTCTCTCTGAGACATACTTTCTCTTTGACAAACTGGAGTTTACATTTGTCTCTCAGAGGCTGGTGGGAATTAAGAATGATAACTGAGCCACATCACAAAAATTTGTCAAAGGATAGGAAAAAATATGGTCAAACATCACCTCTGATAACACAACAAAGGATAACATTTTAGTTAAATCCTTTCCACACTATTGTTCCTCTGTATATTTGTGACAGTTTTATTTATTTACCTTTCAGGGCTCCAGCTATAGAAAATAAAGTTTCTATCTCTACCATTTCTACTCAACATTCTTTCTTTTTTTCTTCCCCCTCCTCCCTCCTTGTCTCAATTTATAGATGAAAATACTAACAAGGTATACTCTTTCTTTTTAAATATGTATAAAATATCTATCTCTTATCAGGAGAGTTGTGGTGGCCTAGTGAGTAAGGAGTGAAGCTGCTGATGTAAAGCCCAAAATTGGGCAGAGAGATGGACAATCCCATGCAATTTACAGACTCTGAAAATCCACTGGAGTGTCAGCTATGAGTTGGTTCCAACTTGATGGCATATAACAACAATAACATCTGTCATCTATTTTTATGGATTTTGAAATTTTTTTTCTTGCTTTCTAAGACTGAGGAGGCATTTGCTGCAGAAAGTCAAGGACTGTAGTCTTTAATATGGGTTGAAGGTCAACATCAAGAAGACAAAGATTCTCACTACTGGGCTAATTAGCAGCATGATGATAAATGTAAAAGAGACTGAGGTTTTAACAATTTCAGCTTGCTCAGCTCCACAATCAACACTCTTGGCACCAGCAGTCAGGAAATCAAAATACAAATTAAATTAGGTAAATCTGCTGTCAGGGACTTCTCAAAAATGCTAGAAAGCAATGTCAGTCTAGAGACTAAGGTGCGCCTGATCCAGGCAATGGTCTTCACAATTACCTGCTATGCATCAGAGAGCTGGACAATGACTAAGAATGACAAAAGAAACAATGCCTTTGAGTTGTGGTGCTGGAAAAGAGTATACTATGGACTGTCAAGAGAACAAAAAGGTCTGTCCTTGAGAGGATGAAACCAAGCTGCTCCTTGGAGGCAAAGATTTTGAAGCTCCATTTCATATACTTTGGTAATATGGTCAAGAGGGATCAGTCCTTGGAAAAAGACATCATGCTTGGAAGGGTGGAGGAACAGTGCAGGAGGAAGACCCCCGATGAGATGAACTGACACAGTAACTGGGGTAATGGGGATATGGATGTCTGAGACAGTGACACTGGCTCAGGATAGGGCAGCGTTGAGAGCTATTGTACATAGGGTCACTATGAGTTGCAGGTGACTCAATGGAACATAACAACAATCTAATCTGCCCAAATTACATTTTCATAGCTATCACTATTTTAAAAAGAACAATTACATTAAGAACTTCTAAAACTATATTAAAGTAATAACAGCAATCTTAAAAAAAGAACTATTTTTCCTGTTTATTGAAACTGTGTACCTACAAGCAGGGGAGGATAAAATAGATGAATGGAACCTTCTAAGAATCAAATCCATATGCACATCAAAAAACTTCTCCAACAAGGTAAAAAGGAAAGCCACAGACTGAGAAATAATATTTGGTAATGATATGTCTGATAAAAGACTTATATCTAGAATTTATAGAATACTCCTGCACCACAACAAGATAAGGCAAACCACCCAATCGCAAAATGGGCACAGGATATGAACAGACATTTTACTAAAGACATCTTAAGATGGTGAACAAACACATGAAGAAATGTTCAAAACCCCTAGTTCAAAGAGAGATACAAATCAAAACAATTATAAGATAGCATTTCACCCCAGTAACAATAGTAAAATTCAACAGAGCAGCAAACAACAAATTCTGGTGATGTTGTGGAGAAACTGGAACCCTTATTCATTGTTGGTGGGAGCATAAGATTGGGCAAATACTATGGAAGGCAGTATGGTGCTTTCTCAAAAAGTTGGGAATAGAAATAAAATTTGACCCAGCAATTGCACTACTGGGAATATACCCTAAAGAAATCATAACTGCCACCTAAGCAGATATATGCACACCTGTGCCACCAACAAACAAATGGATAGAGAAGCTGTGGTATATTCACACAATGGAATACTACGATGCATTGAAAAACAAGGAACTCAGGAAATATTATACAAAATGGGTGACCCTGGAGGACATTATGCTGAGTGAAATATCTGTCACAAAAGGACAAATACTGCATAATGCCACTGTTATAAAATAGAACTGACATAGGGCTGAGGAAAACTAAGATAAGAGGGGATAAATAATATATACTGCATTGAAACAGATGAGGGAAGGAACTACTTAAAAGGAATATATTATTAGGTGTTGTTTGTAAGACAAGAGTCCAGAATAAGAGCTGCATAGTAAAGTAGACTGAGGGGGCGTGGGAATTGTACAACATAAAATATTTTTTTTAAGAGAAAAGTGAACTGGGTGTGGGGGTGGGCAGGGAGGAAAATGTGCAACAATGAATGAATGAATGGAAAATCAAGTTTTCTATAAACTTTCATTAAAATCTCAATTTAAAAACGAGCGAGATCAGCTGGCGCAGTGGACAGAAAGTGATACTACCAAGCCAAAGGTGGGTGACTGTTAATCCGCGGCCCTCGGTCCTGTCTTTCATTGTTTTTGTTCAGACATTCCTCTAGGTCGTATAGCCCTGGTGTACAAGTTGCCGTACAGTGGTCACTTGTGGCTGCTGTGAGGCTGAACACTGTGACACTGATGTGTCAAATGCGTTAATGGTTGTCTACCCAAAGTGGACAGAGAGTAGGGTGGAGCTCTCCGACTAAAACAAGCTTGGAAGGAGGAGTGGCATCCACTTCCATAATAGCTTGCCTCCGGAAACCCTATGAACCTGGAGAGAGGATGAAAGGTACCCAAGTGTCAAGGACTCTCCTTCATAGGGTCGCTATGAGTTGCCTGCGACTCGACAGCACTTAACAACAACAACAACAACAACAACAAAATACTGACTACCAAAAAAACACCCCAAAATGTCCAACCACAATCAAATGGATTGAGAAATTATGGTATATTCATTCACTGGACTACTACACAGCATGCAGGAGCAATGATTTTGAAAATCACTACCTAATTTCAGAGGGACTGGAGAACATTATGCTGAGTAAACTCACTCAGTCACATAAGGACAAATACTGTATAAGACCATTATTGTAGAAATAGAAAACTAGTAAAATGTTTATGAGGAGCAGAGGGGTGAGGATGGATAAGGAGGTAATCACAGAGTTGCACAATTTGATGGGTAGAGGGAAAGGTGAGTAAAGGAAATGGGAAAGATCTGGTGTGAAAAACAATGTATATCAACTTTTTAAGTAAATCAGTATAAAACAAAACTTTTATTTAAAAGAAAAACTACCCCCAAACTAAAACTCTAATAATTCTTAGGAAACTGTAATTGTCCATCTTATGAATGTGATTTTATTTATAGAATCAAGAGAAAGCAATTGGTAGCTTAGACTTGTTTGCAATGCTTTGCCTTGATAAACAACATGCATCCCACACTTCATTATCGCAGCAGCTCTAGGAGGTAGTTGCTATTATTACACCTCCATTTGAGGTGCTTGGGCTAGTATAAGTTAGAGCCAGGGCTCAAATCCAGCCGGACTTCTCCAACCCCCACCCACACGCATTCCATTGCTCCCACAGTGAATTCTTTCTCCAAGATAACTATTTGGGCTGCCTGCATCTTTCCATCCACTCTCCACCCTTGGAGCAATTGCCATCATTATTCACACTGGCATCACTAGCCACATTGTCCCTCTTCCTACACTGTGTGGACCAGTCCCCTCTGTTTGTTTCCTCATACTCCCTCTTTCCCACTACATTTCGGTCATTATGGAGGACTTAGACTCTGCTTTTCAAAATTTAAATTAAGTCATAACCCCTTCTTGAAATTCTTCTATACCTTACAGGGCCTTGGATCCTCTGCCCCATTTCTCTCTGTTCCCACCCTCCTTCCTCACCTTCCCCCTCCTATCTCCCAACCTAACCCCACCTCACTTCCCTATCACTACCCACTAATCACCCTCCAGCTCCCAGAGCCTCATCTCACTTCCCCTGTGCCTCAGGGCATTTGCACAAGCCATGCTCTCCTCAGCTTCCAGCACCTTTTCTATTCAAGCTCCCAGAGGTCATACTTCATCACTCTTTCCTGCAACTAATCTGAGTTTTAAGAAGTCAGCCACGTAGTTTTTACCACTAAGAAGACAGCTTGCCTTTTCCTTTTTCTTATTTGCTGTAACCATGTTCACTGACTAAAATTCGGATTTCTTTACACATCTCTATCACATTTCCTGGAGATTGTGGCAGAAAAGCAGAAAAAATTCACAGTAAAAAAAGAAGAGGGATAATGAGGCATTTCTCAGTGGTCAGTGACCAGAACATCTCCAAGTGGAAGAGCGCATAAGAGGCCCTCAGGGGCAGAGCACTGGGCTTGATTACCATCAGTGGTCCAGGCAGAGTGACTGCAAGAAAGCCTTCCAACACCGTCTCTGCCCTTTCTTTGCTCCCCAGAAGCACCTGCTCCACTAGGAGGAGGCATACTGAGCTGGCTGAAGCCAGCCTTACCTTTACTTTTTCTGTTACACCATCAAGAAACTGACCGTAAATTCAGCGATTTTCGGCACCCGGAACTTCCCTTTGTTCTTCTGTTCAGGTTGATATTCTGTTCTTGTCTTCACAATCACCTGGAATGTTCAAGCAGTGTTAGCAGGCATGAAGACTTGAAGCATTCATTTCTTTTTTTTTTCTTCTATTTAATAGTTGAACTTTATTATACATTGTGTTAAACTCACTCATTGCTGTCAAGTCAGAAGTAACTCAGAGTTGACCCTCCAACAGAGTTTGCAGAGACAGTAAATCTCACCGAACGAAACTGCCCATCTTCCTCTCACAGAGCACCTTGTGAATTTGAACCACCTACCAGAGGGTTGGTAGTGCAATTCCCTGTCCACTAGGCCACTAGAACTCCCTATACATTGCATTAAGATTGTAAAATTAAAATTCTTTCTCTAAACATACACACAAGGAAATTCAACTTACCCATAATCCTTCTTCATTTCATCAGGGAGGGTCAAAGATGACTATTCTGGTTAATTATTCCAGATATTTTAATATGTATTAGGTATGCATATGAATTGTACATATTTCCTACTTATGCAGACAGAGGGATCACTGGTGGGTGACCTAGTGGGAAGAGAGTTGTGCTGCCAGCACAAAGGCAGGCAGTTGGAGTCCCCCAGCTGCTCCTCGGGAAAAACATAGGCAATTTCCTTCTGTGTAACTTAAAGACTCTGAAAACCTGCTGGAAGGTCAGATATGAGTCAGTTTCAACTTATGACAATGAGTTGCACTGTGTTTTGTTATGAATACATATATTTCTGCTTTATAAAGTGGATGCATATTTCATGTACTAATTTATAACCTGTTTTGTCACACAACACTATATTAACATTTACTCATGTATATAAATATAAGAATTCACTTTTCATTTTTATACAGCATAATACTTCATTGTATATATGCTACAATTGAAACTTTCGATGGTCTCCACAATATTAGCTAAAGAAATAAGTCAATGAATATCTGTATTTAAATCTTTGCATATATTCTCCATTCCAACTGGATTTGGAGACTTGTGCAAAGAAATCTCTAAAGTTCTATTGGATATACTATAGCATTTTATTTTGCAAAAGTCAGGTTAATATCAAGATATGCTATCAAACTGACAAGATGTTTATGAAACTCCACCCCACTGTGCAAGCAAAGAAGAAAAAGAAAATGACAAATAATTTAATAATTGGCAAGTATCACATTTCCATGAAGAACACAGAATGTCCATTATCCTCAAGACCCTCACCTATAAAATGCAGGGAATAATTCTAATACTTACTTTACAGGACTGTTTTGAGGGCTAAATGGCAGAATAACAGTAAATACTTTTTTAATCCTTTATGAATAATTTATTATGTAGCAGAACTAGATCACACACTTCATATACCTTATTTATGAGCCACAATGATTCCCATTTTCTCAGCAAGAAAACTGGCTCAGCAATGCTAGCTCACTTATTCAAGGTCATACAGCTAAAAGAAAAGTTTGTGATCTAACTGGGATTAGGCTTACTTTCATTAAGATTTCAATTAACAGAACTTTTACTAAAGGTCAAAAAGCAAAAGTATTGACTGGAGAAAGAAGAATTCTCTGAAGAATGTTCTTTAAAGTCTCTGAGACATGCCATTGACTGAATGCATCTCAACAAGAAAAGAATAGGAAAAGAAGGAGCATTGAACATCTGCCATTTGGTATTTAAATACATTGGTTACGGAATCTCTGAGCCTCCATGCACCAAGAGCTTCCTTCCCTCCCTCCCTCCCTCCCTGACACCTAAACCCTACTGAGATTATGGTATTGTTCCTCCTTTTTCTTTGTAGTTTGTCCCCCAAAACAACATAAAGAGTTGTTGTTCAGTGCTATCAAGTCAACTACTACTTGTGGGACCCTAAGAAAAACAAACATGAGCTGTGTCCTATTCTTCCAGAGCCTCAGGATCTCTGATATGCCTCAGCTCATTGTTACAGTCACTGTGTCACAGCCTTTGGTTTATTCTTGCATGAAAGGATTTTAGGATTATTTTGTTTGTTTTTTGCAGGGGGGGAGGTGGTTTTGTTTTGAATTTTATTTTATCTACTATTTCAAAGACTTAGAAAGCATAAGCATTGAGACCATAGGTAACAAAATCAACTCTTACAGTTTATGCATGGAGCAGGTATTGAGACTTGATATGTATTGCTGTTATTATTGTTAGGTGCCATACAGTCGAGTACGACTCAGCGTAGCGACCCTATGAACAAAAGATCTGAAACCTGTTCTACCCTGTGCCATCATCACACTTCCTGACACACAAGAGCCCATTGTGACAGTCACTATGTCAAGCCACCTTGTTGAGGGTCTTCCTCTCTTTTGCCAACCCTCCACCCTTCCCAGCATCATGTCCTTCTCCAAAGAATAGCCCTCCTAGCAACATGTCCAAAGTATGTGAGGCGAAGCCTCATCATTCCTGCCTCCAAGAGTGCTCTAGCTGCACCCTCTCCAAGACATATATGTTTTTTCTCTTCACCATCCCTAGGATGTTCAGTGCTTTTCTCCAACACCACAGCTCAAAGGCATCAATTCTTTTTTCTGTCATCTTTATTCATTGTCCAGCTCTCAGATGCATAGCAAGTAATCAGAAGCTCATTTAATCTGACATCATGAGGCAGATGTAGATATTGTCAATATCGCTGACTACTGGGTTTAAAAGTATGGGTTTTGCCTCTTACTAGCTGGCGACCACAGGTGAGTCACTTAAGTCTTCTGTATCTAGCTCTTCTAATCTATTGTTGTTGTCATGTGCCATGAGTGAACTACAACTCATAGTGACCCTATAAATAACAGGTGAGAAACTTGTCATATCCTGTACCATGCTCATGACCCAACCCATTGTTATAATGTGTCAATGCAGCTTTTTTTTTAACATTTTGAATGAGAATATTTTTAATAAAATGTTGTATACATTGTATTTCACACTTTTCTTCATTGACGTTATGTTTCATGCAGTTCAATGCAGCTTTTTAAAGGTGTTCCTTTCCTTTTCTGACCTTCCGCCTTTCCCAGCATGATGTTTTTTTCCAATGATTGGCCCCTCTTGACAACATATTGGGAAAACAACCAGTAACCACGGTTTGTTGTAGGATTAAAACAAGTTCTAAAAACAACCTAAACACTCAAATTATTCCTAAAAGAACAAGTGTTTATTTACACTGTTTTTGAGTTCTGTTATATTTCTGCCACGGATCCTAGAGATCCACTTTATTTCATACATGAAGAACAACATGGGATTGCTCAAGAACAATGCAGTTAAAGAATTCCCCCGATTCGTGCTTGAAAAAAGCTTTTGAAGTATGAGTAGAAGTTTTAGGAAGGTAGAAAGAAAAAGAAGACACTGTTTGAAAGGAAATCACATAGTCAAAAAAGGAGAAGTTCGAAATAATATATATTTTATAAATGTCTTGCGGACAAATAAACGACATTGGGAATATGAGAGCAGGAGTGAAAGTAATGTAAAGGAAAAAAAAAACAACAAAACAATTCTCATTGCCATCAAGTCAGAACCAGCTCATAGCTGAACCTCCAGTAGGTTTCCAGGGTCTATAAATAGCACAGGAAGTCATTGTCCATCATTTTGCTGAGGAACAGCTGATGGGTTTGAACAGTCTGCCTTTGAGCTGACAGTGTAACTAGTTTTGCCAAGTCACAGCTCATAAACTGAGTGTTCATATTATTAACTAATGTAAACGTTCTGGAAATGGTTAAATAATATGTATAAACCTTTAAAAATTATATAAATTTTATTTTTTAAAGAAAATTTTTATTTTATACTGGTTTACTTATAAAGTTGGTATACATTGTTTTTCACACTGGATCTTTCACATGGCCTGGTATACATTGTTTTTCACACTGGATCTTTCACATGGCCTTTACCCGCCCCCCCTCGTAAAATTGGGTAACAACCTTATGATTAACTGATCCTCCCTCCACCTATCCTCACCCCTCTGCTCCTACCCTCTCCCCCTTGAACCTTCATACACATTTTACTAGTAACCTTTCTATAATCATGGTATTTTTATTTTTTAAATTTATTATTAATTTCAATGAAAATTTACAGAGACTTTGGATTTCCATTCATTCATTGTTGCACTTTTCTCCCCTTGCAACCCTCCCCCTTAGTACACTACCCTCTTGGGAAAGTAAAACAAAAAATCTCTCATTATTTTACAATCCCTTCCCCCAGGTCCACTCCACTACATAGCCTTTGCTCTAGACTCCTGTCATGAAAAAAATACCTAATCACATATCCTTCTTGAACAGTTTTCTCTCTCATCTGTTTCAATGTATTGAACCCATCTTTCTCCATCTCCCCCCAACCCCATGTCAGTCTTGTTTTACAACAGTGGCACCATGCAGTATTTGTCCTTTTGTGACTGAAATACTTCACTCAGCATAATGTTCTCCAGGGTCACCCATTCTGAATAATATTGCATGAGTTCCTTGTTTTTTCAATGCAGCGTAGTATTCTATTGTGTGAATATACCACAGCTTTGCTATCCATTTATTTGTTGATGGGCACTTAGGTTGTTTCCAAATTCTTGCTATTGTGAACAAAGCCATGATTAACATGGGTGTGCATATATCTTCTTGAATGTCAATTATGGTCTCTTTGGGGTATATTCCCAGTAGTGGAATTGCTGGGTCAAATGGTTATCGCTATTTGCAACTTTTTGAGAAAGTGCCATAGCGCCTTCCACAGTGGTTGCACCATTTTACACTTCCACCAACAGTGAATAAGGGTTCCAGTTTCTCCACAACTTCGCCAGCATTTGTTGCTTGCTATTCTGTTAAATTTTGCTATTCTGATTGGGGTGAAATGATATTTCATAGTTGTTTTGATTTGCATCTCTCTTAGAGTTACGGATTTTGAACATTTCTTCATGTGCTTGTTAGCCATCTGAATGTCTTCTTCGGTGAAGTGTCTGTTCATATCCTGTGCCCATTTTTCTATTTGATTATTTACCTTTATCTTGTTGTGTTGCTCAAGTATTTTATAAATTCTGGCTGTAAGTCCCTTATCTGATATGTCACTACCAAA